GAGCCTGGTTCAGATTCTGTGTCTCCCTCTCTCTCTCTGCCCCTACACCACTCATGCTCTGTCTCTATCTGAGTCTCTCAAAAATAAATAAACATTAAAGAAAGAAAAGAAATCCTCTATTTTCCACTATAGAAAATTTCATTTCTTGGGGTGCCTCAGTGGCTCAGTCGGTTAAGCATCCACTGTTGATCTCAGCTCAGGTCATGATCTCAGTTTGTGGGTTCAAGCCCTGCGTCAGGCTCTGTGCTGACAGTGCGGAGCCTGCTTGGGATTCTCTCTCTCCCTCTCTCTGCCCCTCCCCTGCTCATGCACACGCGTGCACATATACTCTCTCTCAAAATAAACTTTAAAAGAAAATTTCATTTCTTGAATTTCAAATAAAAAGCCTTTATCTACCACATGTTCAAAGTCAGAAAAATATTTTGTTTTAAATTTTAATTAAAAGGAGTAGGGAGAATGGAAACTCTATATAGTAAAAAGTGCAAAGTTATGATGCTCAGAATTATGGACAGCTTCTAGAGAATAATATAGACCAATTTCTAGCCATTATCCCTGTGTCCATAATTTCTTTTCCTTCTATCTCCATTTGTCCAGATTTAATATATGTTCATTATTTGGTTATAGCTAAAGAGCTGAGATTTCTTAAAATGGTATACCCTGGTACAACTATGAAAAAACATATTTCGTGTCTGAAATTAAACAAGCCAAAATGGTCCACGCTGGCGAAACAGGCACCAGATTTACTTGCCCACACAAACGAGCTCATCATCCTCACTAACCCCAAAGCCCAGTACCGCGGGCTCCAGGACTTCATGGTTCCCTCCGCCTTGCTGCTCTCATTTACTTCCACATCCGGCGTGCGTATGTATCCAACAAATGCTTACGAGATGACCGATGAGCACTTCCTTTAAGTAGAACAAAGCAGTCTAAAAGACACAGTGAGCACACCAGCTGAAAAGCACCTTTGGGTTCCAGCAACACGGTACCGAGGCATCGATAGCTTCGAAATCAAAACAGGTGCTAGCTATCAAAACACACAACTAGATTCTAACTCAATACTAGAATTTCTTACAAATTCTATTTAAGTCTGAAGCTTATGATGTGGGAGGCGCCATACAAGCACAAGAGACAGTGCTGGCCGTGTTGACGGTTGAGTATTCTTAACTTCTCATGGCCTGTAAGTCAAATTCCCTGGACACGGGACATCGTATAAACATGAAGGTCACTCCTCCTACCTGTGCTCAGGGGCCACACAGTCTCCTACTCAAAAGACAATTCATTTAAAAAGAATAAAGGGGGGCGCCTGGGTGGCGCAGTCGGTTAAGCGTCCGACTTCAGCCAGGTCACGATCTCGCGGTCCGTGAGTTCGAGCCCCGCGTCGGGCTCTGGGCTGATGGCTCGGAGCCTGGAGCCTGTTTCCGATTCTGTGTCTCCCTCTCTCTCTGCCCCTCCCCCGTTCATGCTCTGTCTCTCTCTGTCCCAAAAATAAATAAACGTTGGAATACTTAAAAAAAAAAAAAAAAAAAAAAGAATAAAGGAAGTATAGCAAGCAATCCAAGATACTGGATATACAGACACACACCAAAGCCTGATATGTAACTTCAACAATAAAATTGTACTTTGGAAACTGAAAAGGACTTTCAGAGAAAACTCATGCTCCTGAAATATCCTGCAGGAGAAAGAAAAGGGGCTACAGGGAGGGGTCAGCCCAACTCGCACATCAAGTCAGGCACACCACAAAGTCAACTCTAAGAACAGCACTGGCTGCCACCAGCACTGATCTGTCTACACCCAAGCACCGTGCCCTACACAGGAGGGACGAGGGGGGGACACGGGTGCAACACGCAGAGGCCAACATGGACGGAGGGCTTCCCTCGTCGCGGTGTCAAAGTGGAAGGTCCAGGACCTGAACACGGGTGGGCTAGAACTTATTAACCCACTAAGCAGTAGACCATTTACTTCAAAAAAGAACATTATTATTTTACATTTTGAGAAATCAAAAAAATTCTTTGTCTTCATAAGACATAAGTAATTTGGAAGATATACCAGAAAGGAGGCTGATGGGGAGAAGGAGGCCACAGAAAAAAGTCTTAATCACCAAAATCTGACAGAGTTCAGAAGTTTAGAGTTCAGAGCACAGGATACAGAATGTCTAGAAAAGGTGAACTAAGTAATCAGAGCAGGACACAGAGGCTGCCGTAAAAAGCCAGCCCAGCACAAAGGAAAGGGCGACAGACCACACAATCGATGTCTATAAATTACGTAGATCATCCCTATGCAGCCCCTGAACAGTAACCAACTGCCAGATCAGGGCCAGAGCCGCTCGGCGTGGTCCCCATTCAAAAGACATTCAAACGAGGCACAGGAGGAATATCTATTCACTCAGCAGGTACTCAGCGAATCGTGTATCATGCTAGGCCCTAGATATTTTCAAAGTAAGTACGGCACCTGCTCCCCAGGAGCTCACAGTGCGGCGGGAGGACAAAGAAGCCTGCTTACTGAGGACGCGCTGTGTCCCAGACGCCGTTACTCAGCAGTAACCCTGAACAAGGCGGACAGTCCACCCCTGTGCACCGAGGTACAAACAGGGTCCAAGCGCGGGGAAAGAGGGGTGCTCTGCCTCAGCCACTGAGGGACCGCTAAGAAACGGCAAATCTGAGAGGCAACCTAGAAGGAGGTGTTGAGCAGGACGACGAGATGGGAAACCGTGCGGGCAGAGGGACAGCGCACGAGACAGCTGAGCCGGGATGAACCGCACTCGGCGATGACCGTGGGAGAGTCCGCTCCGGGCCGAGGATGGGCCCGAGGGCTCCAGCTCTGGCTGCGGAGCCCACACCACGGCGGCAGGGATGGGAGGGAGGCGATGACACCCTCGCAATTCAGGGCCACAGAGACAGGGGTGCGCCTCGTGAGTTAGCAGGTAACAAAAGCAACAGTTCAGCTGAGACCCCTGTGACTCCTTCTGGATCACGTCACATCAGGCTGCCAGCCCTTTAAAGCCAACAAAAAACTGCAACCTATTCTCAATCGTTTCCTAAAAGATCACTGAAGGTCAAATATAAGAATCATCTCTTCTCGGGGCGCCTGGGCAGCTCAGTCGGTTAAGCGTCCGACTTTGGCTCAGGTCATGATCCCACGGTTTGTGAGTTCGAGCCCCACGTCGGGCGGTGTG